CTCGGACTCTGTATGTGAGGCTGAGCTGAGAGATGAGCTTTTATGCAAACAGGAACCAGTTCGGTTGCACTGGACAGGACCATTACTTGAAGCTTCTTATGAGATTGCTGCCCTGTTCTTCGGCACAGTTTGACTCAGCAATATGTTTAAGACATTACTTTTTTTATTAGAGTTACTGTAAAACTAAGTTGTCTTTTATCTGATAAATCTGAATACCAAGGTAGTGAAACAGGTCTTGATTTTTTTGGCCAGAACTGAAGTGGAGTTTGTGCCTTGCCACCACAGGTCCATCCTTCTTCAGGGTTTGCAACTCAAACACCTCCAGACTGCAAGTTACGGGAACCAGCTAGGCTATCCTCCTGTACCAGAGGAATTGAAAGGGGCCTGAAAAGATGGTCTCGTTGTTAAAGACGTGGTCAAGGATATCTGGGTCTTCCCAGGCAAACTTGCTGGAGTCCCGTTATCATTAGTATCTCAGTCCCCCACGTCTGTCGAAAGAGGATAACGACTGAGCCGGCTCCCCATTAATGGTGGGGGCTGATCTGCTTGGCAGGTTGACTCTGCTGTGAGCTCAGAGACACCTGAGTGGGCTCCTGCAGCCCAGCTCCATCCAGAACGGCAGTCCTGCTGCAAAACCTGAGCGAGGCCGCTCAGTGTGGGCGGAGAGGCAGAAAAACCTTGTTTGCCTGGCACTGAGCCTAAGCTAACAGCCTCTGCCAAGCCTCAGGTGCAAAATACATCGAATTATCCGTGTTTTTCTTCTGTGAGAGCCCCTCTCTCCCTCTGCCTCGGCAACAGAGATTTGACTGCTTCATTTCACCCAGTTTTTGTCTGTCTGATCCCATTCTTTGGGGCAGGAGTGCCCTTCCAGCCAGTTTTGGTAGGGTGCCTGGCAGAGCGGAGTTCCCCGTCTTGCTCATTGCCCATCGCTGCTATTGTCCTGCAAATAATAGCAGTAATTGCAATACAGTGGTGAACTGCACAGAGGAACAAGCGTGCTAGAGCTGGACATAGCATCCCCACGCAGTGATATAAGGGTGTCATTAATAGTCTAGCTGAAGGGCAGCTTTACATTGTATTAGGTATTTTAATTAGGGAGCTGCTTCCTGGTTAGGATTGAAGGTAGTTTACTTCCACCGGGCTGTGCTTTAAATCATCTTGTAGCTTCCTTGGTAAGAAACCGATCTCCTTGAATTGCACGTGTCATAACTCAGCAGGGGTGCAGTTTCCTTGATAGGGAAGATCAATAAATAAGGTTTATCTAAGGCTGCAGCACACTAAAGATGTGTCCGAATGCTGTGGTACTCACTCTTGGCCTCCTCTGCCTCTGGGTGACTCCGCAGCATCCTGGCCATGGTGCTTTGCACTGACTTGGGTTTGGATGGGTTGACCTTGCCGTGAAGAATTAGTTTTGGGAAGGAGAGTTTTAAGCAGGGAACACGTTGTCCATAGGTGCAGAAAAAGCAGCGCGGACATGGTAAGTCAGGGACGAGGGGAGGGGAGGGTGGTCTGCGTGCTCCGCAGAGATACAGAAGTGAAAAAAACTGTTACCTAATCAGACACTCCATTTCCAGGCATCTGTTAGGCAGGGACCACAGCGTTTGTCTCGGCAAAATGCGTTTACGCTGCAAGAGGGATTTTCTCCTCGTTCCTCGGGAGGATTTCGGTGCGTGGCAGCGACAGCGACGTGACCGCGGTGGCAGAGAGCAGCCGGCCGGTGGGACCGAGCTGCCGTCCCACCGAGGGCTGTGCAGCAGCGACGGGTCCTGCTCCAAAGCCCCGACAGTCAGGGCACGACTGAAATAATCACACCCAAACCCACAGAAAAGATTTTGAGGCTTCTTACTTTTTAACTATCCTGCTGACTTCAAAGGCCATTTAGTTGTCATCCTTTTTAATCAAAATAACTGGAGACAGCAAAGCTGTTTATCTCCAAACATTGCTAACATCTCTCTACATGTTCAGTGGCAGTTACGGGACAGAGAAAACACACTACAAGAAAATTTGCTTGCAGCAAAATTCACGTCCCTGTGGAAGCACGGAGAGAGCTTCTGAGGTGCTTTAGATTGATTATAAAATGAGTCTGCGGGTAACAACCGCTTTGTCACCCTGGATGTTGATTTCTCTCCCCTTGGCTGAGAGCCAGAGATGCAACTCTCTATTTGGGGATAACATTTTGTGCGTACAGGTGGTGGAAAAGGGGCGGGGGGGGGGGGGAAAGAAAGCTCATTAGGCTGAACAATAGCATTGGCCCTAGAACAAATAGTCTGGCCATGAATAAATTTAGGTGAAGCAAGAAGGTTTCTAAGAAGTAAAGCAGTGAGCTTTTGATAAAGCACCCGATAAGAAGGGGCCAGGAAAAAAAAAAAACCAATATCTTTTCAGATAGAGCTGCTTTACTTTACACTAGGGGTTTTGCAGCACAGCTGGTTGTGGACAAAGAGGACTGGTGTTTCCGTGTTGCTCTCCAGCATTCTCATTGACCTGAGCTCCGCTCGTGAGGTTGCTCTTCACCTTGAGAAACCCTGGGTGTTCCCTCCTACCTCCTCACCCATGTGTTTCTTTTCCAAGCTGACAGTCCTTGACATCTCTGTCTTTCCCTATGGCCCTTTTCTATGTTTATTCCCTTTTTTTTGCAGTGGAGTGAGCAGAACTGCAGTGTGCTGTTCAATCTGTGGATTTATACAGTGATACAGCAGTGTTTTCTGTGTTGTTTTGTACACCTTTCCCACTAATTCCTGCATGAAACATCCTAGTGACTGTGACACACATGGAATATACCTAAGGCAGGGGTGTGCGCACAGGCAGCAGCCTGGGTTAACCCAGCTGACACAGCCAGCATCACCAAATCAGCCTTGCGGCACACAAACCCTTCTGCAAGTCTGGAACAGAAGCAGAAACCTTCAGAGTGAAGTATGAGTTATTCCATGTTTAACAGGACTCTCCTACTCACCTAGAGCATGAAAGAAAGTCTACGTGATATGTGGGCAGCAGAGGAAAGGTGTTATTAAAGGGGAGAAATCAGCATGCCTTTCTTTGGCACTTGTTTCTTCCTGAGAGCACGTCTTCCACGTGAACACGCATCTTTGGTCTCTGGGACAAGATGGGCTTGGGGAGAGATGGGGAGAGCAGGCAGACCTCTGCCATAGAAACAGTATTGTCACTGAAGCCGTGATTTTTTTATATCCAGGACAGTGAATTACAGTTTCAAGGTCCATCTGCTGAAGGTGTTTTGGAGGCTTTCCATGAGGAGCAGGGCTGAGAGATCGTGGTTGCTGTGTGAGAGATCTTCTCCCCCAGCAACTCAGGTTCTGTTTGATGTGTGCCTGCCAGGGACCACCGAGCTGGTATTTTCAGAGTAATGTGACCCTCAGATCATTTTTCTGAGTGGTTTTAACAAATGTACAGCTCATTAAAGTGTACATACATAGTTAGGGGGGTTTATGCCCATAGGCAGTTCTTGCCATGTGTCATTAGTGAATTTCGGTGCTGAGGCACTTTGAATGAGGAGATCCTTCTGCAGATTCTTCACAATACAGAGTGACTGTCCTAAATGATCATCATGCACAAGCTCCATCTTCTCGATATTCACTCCCTTTCCCAGACCACTTATGAGCACGTTGAACAACACAGATCCTCAGGGAAATCCCTTGATAACCTATTCCCATTATGAAAACTATTTCTTTCTTCTTACCCTTTGTTTCCCATTGGTAACTATTCATGCAGAAGTGCTCTTCCCCTTTGTACCACTACTGCGCCAATCCCAGAAAAGCCTTGGGTGAAGGACATTTCCAAAAGCCGATGAAAAACACAGCCTGCACCAGGGACCAGGTCACCCCATCAGACTGGTCACCTTCACTTTGAAAGAACTTGACTAGCTATAAGGCAAGACTGTACTTTGCCGAATGTACTTTGCCAAAACCAAGTTGTCTCGGTCCCCAGTACATCATGAGTTTGTTAATTATGGTCTTTATTATAATCTCACCGGTGTGCCCAATACAAAAGCCAGATGTCCTGGTGTATAAGTTCCCTGCGCCACCTCCTGGGCCCTTTAAAAATCCGCCCTTAAGGAATCTGCCATTCCTTAAGGGTAAATTTGCCATTCCTTAAGTCGGGAGGCAGATTTGAGCCACCGGCAGCACAGCCGGTGAGCAGCCTGGCAGTTCCCTGCCTGAGTTTCTTCTAACCTCCCGGGCCGACTGGTGTGCTGCCTGTGAATTTATTGATCTGCTTAAAACCTCTCCGTGGCCTCAATATCTAATCTGTTACGGAGAGCAGAGTGTTACAGGGCAAAATTCATTAAGGTTTGTAAAGCTCATCAAGATCTTTCATGAGCAAATCCCATCATGTTTTAATATATTTTTTAAATGTCACGAGTAAGTTCTCATTACTCATTGAAGAGCTGAAGCAAACAGTGCTTGCCAGACCCAAATATTAGAACAGGCAAAGGCTGCAACTGTCTTCGTTTACCACTTTTAGGACACTTTCATTTAATCTTAAACTCCTTGCCTTGATTGTGCTCCTGCAAATCAGAAGCACCCCTCTGGCTTTTCCAGATGTAGGCTCGGGGATCCCCATGGACCCCTGGCCCTGGGCTTTTCAGAAGATGCCTGGTAGCTCCATGGGGGTCTGAGAGTTGCTGGTCCTGGTCGCTGTTAGCATTGCTCTGGCTTTGCAGTGTGAGACGTCAGCATGAAGAACAGCAAAGGATGGATGAGTGCATCCAGCAGGTGTTGGATCTCACAAACCGGGCAAACCTTCCTAAGACTCTTTGCCTTCCAACCCAGCATGGTGTTTTGTCCCCCTCCAATGGTGCTTGTACATAACTGCACGCTTGCTGGTAGGTTTGGCAGATGGGTCCTAGGCTACTGGGACCAAAACCACATGTGCTTCTGTTCAAGTGGCCGAAGTGGCATTTTTTCCCCAAGGCCGCTGCTGTGGTCTGGGTCTCTGCGAGAGCTTCACAATGAACTTGCATTTCCCCTTGTTTTTCCTGCCAGGATGTCCAGAGGAGACATGGCCAAACCCCTCCTGGGCCATCGGAGCATGGAGGGTGACCCCAGCATCACGCCTGCGGCCAGCCGCACCATCGGGGTGCTGGGGAGCGGGGACTTCGCGCGGTCGTTGGCCATCCGCCTGGTGTGCTCCGGGTTCAAGGTGGTGGTCGGCAGCCGCAACCCGAAGCGAAAAGCCGGCCTCTTCCCTTCCGCAGCAGAAGTCACCTTCCAGGCTGAGGCAGTGAAGAAGACAGATGTCATCTTTGTGGCGGTTTTCAGGGAACATTACTCCACCCTCTGTGACCTGGCTGACGTGCTGGTGGGCAAGATCCTGGTGGATGTTAGTAACAACACCAAGATCAACCATCACAAAGAATCCAACGCCGAGTACTTGGCTTCCCTCTTCCCAGCCTGCACCGTGGTCAAGGGTTTTAACGTGGTTTCTGCGTGGACGCTGCAGTCAGGTGCCAGGGATGGAAATAAGCAGGTATTGTTTTCTTCTGACAAGAGCCAAATCCCAACTGTTTCAGCAGCAGAGGTCTGGCAGCATCAGCAAATGGCCTTAGGCTCCAGGAGAAGGCATCTGAGTGCTGGCCATGGCATTCAGAGACCACCCCATAGCTTCTGCATTTCTTTGCTCGGAAATGAAGTACCCTCACTTACTTCACACTTCGTAGTGTTTGGAGCCTCTGCCTAAGTGAAAAGTATTATTTAATTGTCTGTTTATCTAAATACAGCCAGTCAACCAAACTGGTGGTGCACACATGAAAGGAAACTTGTCCAGGAGAGAGGTCTTTGGCAGCCACGGTAAAGCCCCGTCAGAAAGCCTGCCAGGAAACATGATGCTCAGTGGAATAATGCAGGCTCCCTTTAGCACAGCATCCCTCCCAACACACTCGTTCCCAGCAGCCTGATCTCTCTGCCCTACGTGTATCTTTCTGTTCGTTGCAGGTTCTGATTTGCTCAAATAACCAAGAAGCCAAGCGCACAGTAGCAGAAATTGCTCAAGTCATGGGATTCACCCCTGTGGACATGGGCTGCATGTCGTCAGCCCGTGAGATCGAGAACATTCCCCTGCACCTCTTGCCAGCCTGGAAAATCCCCATCTTTTTGGCTCTGGGGCTCTTTCTTTGCTTCTTCACTTACAACCTGATCCGGCAGGTCATCCACCCTTACATCAGGGAGCAGAAGAACAAGTTGTACAAGATCCCCATCGAGGTGGTCAACACGACGCTGCCTTGCGTGGCCTACGTCATGCTGTCTCTCGTCTACCTGCCCGGGGTGCTGGCAGCCTGCTCGCAGCTCTACTATGGCACCAAATACAGGCGCTTTCCAGATTGGCTCGACCAGTGGCTCCAGCACCGAAAGCAGATTGGTCTCCTCAGCTTCTTCTGCGCGGCTTTGCACGCCATGTACAGCCTCTGTCTGCCCATGCGCCGCTCCCACCGCTACCAGTTAATCGAGACGGCCGTCAAGCAGGTAATGCGGCTACTCCTCAGGTCAGCACCTGTAGTAATCTTCTACACACATCCAGATGTTGGGTAGCGGGCTTAATATCTTGGCTTTTGCATTCATTTTCCAAAGCACGTGCAGGACAGTGGGAATAAGCTGTTATCCATACGAGCGCTTCCTCCCCGGGGCAGCTGTGCTCCACATACCAGGCGTGCACCCTTCCGCACCGAGGACCCGTAAACGCAGGGTGTTGCCTGTGCATTTACTGCCAGGGCTAGGATCAAACTCCCCTGTGCCATTGCTCCCCAGAAGCACAGACAAGCCTTTGAAACCAGCCTTGCCTGGCACCTGCCGTGTCTGAGACGAGGGCAGAGGCAAGAAAAGTGGTAGGAGGGGAGAAATCCAGTGGTGGAGAGAGTGGAGTTCCCCTCAACTTTTGTCCCTAGATTTTGGGAGATCCCTGTTTGCTCACACTGAAGTTCACAGTAGGTGCCTGCTGGAGTAACCAAGTCATAACTTGGAGGGGGCTGTTTTGTAGAAGGTGTGTCCTCATCACAATGTGCCTCCAGGTGTTTTAACAAAATGATGGTGAAGAACTGCTCATAGCCTAAGAGAACGAGGAAATGGAAAAGGACTTTATTGCCTTAGAGACCCTCGGCAGTGTTTATCCAGTGTGAGGTTGCTACCTTCAGGCAATTCAGCCAGCTCTCTAACTCGGCAGTGCCATGGGAAAACGTGACTCTGCCCTTCTCCGGCCCCTGGCTTCTCGCCGTTCCACCCCGCTCCCTCCCGGGATGGCACAAACTTTGTGCAGAGTGGGGAACCCGATCAAGGAATCGCCCCGCAACCAGTCTGCTTTCTGCGCTGGGATATTCGCCCGAGCATTTCCAAACACTTGTCCCAACAGAGCGGAGGGAAGGGGCCGCAGGCACAGAGGGGAGCAGGATGGCTGGTTTCGGCTGCAGCGCCTGTTCAAAGCAACCATCAGACAATATCCCCAGCCTCTCAGCTCCAGTCTTGAGCAGGTCCTTCTCGATTGCCACAGTCGCACATTAATCTCAGGCAAGCATCCTGTGTTCATTTCCCCTCTACCTCCTGTTTTCTAGCAACATCTTTGTTTAGTAAATTAAACCCATTTAATGGGCTAAAGAGGACAGTTCTAAATGTTCCTCTTTGCCATGCAGCATAAAACCCATCTTGCCTTCCATTAGCATGAACAATTTCCCCCCTAAATGCACTTAAAACAAAGGTTATTAGGAGACTACTGCATATGCAAGCATCTGTATTTGTTTTCATGGCTTTAAACTGACTTCTCATTCTAATTATCTTTCCAAATGTGACTTTGGGGCTTGCTGCTGTGGTTACGGGCTGTGGGAGCTGGGAGCATTCAGCAGTTCTTCCCAGCAGTCTTCAAATCAGGTCTAGCTTTGGCCAAATGGCAGTGGGATAAAAGAGCATTTCCACACCTCCCACATAGGCAAATAGTGCTGAAGGTGTGACTAGGACCCAGTGTTCATCCAGGAAACCTCCTTCCAGAACCAGAACAAATACAGCTAAAATTCAGTTCCTCTATTCCTAAGCGCTCCGTTTTAACAAACCTTCATTGTCATGCCAGGCTGTGGAGAAGAAGATGAATATCTGGGTAGAGGAGGAAGTCTGGAGGATGGAGATTTATATCTCTGTTGGAATAATTGCCCTGGGCTTGCTGTCGTTACTTGCCATCACTTCACTTCCATCCATCGCAAACTCTCTCAACTGGAGGGAATTCAGTTTCATTCAGGTAAAGTTGACATTTGCCGATGCCAGAGAGTGATTTTGCAGTCAGTCAGGCCCTCGCGCAGACCACGGAGGGCAGAGGTTGACCTGCCGTCCCAGCGCATCCCTGCTCCGGCACGGCAACTGCAAGCTGCGCACCGGTGTCAGGGGCAAACCCTGCCACTCCACACCTCCCCGTGCACCCCAGAGCCATGGACCCCCTGCCCGGGAGGTGACACCGAGCGGCGATGGCTGGGCAGTGGGATGTGGTGTGTCCCGGGGGGCCGTGCTGCTCCCACGCAGGGCTCACCTGGTCCGTGGAGGGTCCTGCTGTCTCAGGGGGAAGGGAAAATGTAATGTGTCATGGGCATCCACGTGAGGATTAGCGGCAGGCTTTGCAGGAGGGAGTCTTTAACGTCTTGGCTGAGATTCTTTCTCACCCTGCATTTAGCAGCATTAGTTACAGATCCTGAGAAAAAAAACAGCTTGGGCTTTGCCTGCGTGACACCCCTCTGCAGAGTCCTTTCCCCCCTCAATTGGTGCCCAGGAGCAGCAGAGCCGTTCGCAGCTAAAAAACTCCTCAAATCACACAAGGTAGAAAGGCAGAAAGCCTTGGGGTCGTTTAGAGAGGGCAGGGTTGTTCGCTTCTGTGGGCAAGATCCCCCTTGGAGCCGGTCGTGTGTCAGTCATGCACGACACGTCGGAGCTGCTGCGGGGAGTTTGCAGCATCCACGACGTCTCGGGAATGATGCGGGGAGTTTGCACCAGGCTGTGGAAGGCAGGCAAAGCTGCCACGGAGACAGCTGGCTGCGGGACACAGATCTGCCCTTGCATTTCAGGGAGAGTGAGCTTCTGAAAAGGAAAGCACCTGGGAGGACAGTGCAGGGCAAGGTCAGGTTTAGCAGAGCTTGCATGCACCCAAATATTCAATAGACAGGTTCAAAAAGGCTTAGACTGGTCTGTAATGCTAGAGCCCAAGAAGCACAGAGAACTGGGTATAATTTCAATCAAAAGTCGACGTCTGATTCTAAAAAGTGAATTAGGAATGTAGTTTTTCTCTCTCCAAAGTCATTCAGTGGTTTAGGAGCCTTCTTCCCACTTGCAGCAATGTCCAAGCTCCCAAGGGCCAAATTCCCCTAGTGACCCAAGTCTACCATGCGGGACATTCACAAACCCCGACCTCGGGGGCTGCAGCGTTCTCAGGGATGCGCTTGGAGCCAGGCTTAGGGCTAACTAACGGGGACAGCAGGGAATGAACCTTCAAGTATTCCCTGCACATTAGAGCTGATTTTGAGGCCAAATTCCACTTACCATGTCATTACTGTATCCCATAGCCCTGAACCCCCTTGTTACTTGTGTATGCTACATCGCCGCTGCTTAGCATGCACCAGGCTTCAAGTCCAGCTGCAGTGACCCACGGGGCACCCCAACACGTGTGAGCCCCGGTGGGACCCCATCCCCCTGCATCTCCCCTGCGGACCCTCCCCATGCATCACACTGGTACACGTCTAACCCTTCCAAGGGGGAGGGCAGGGTTCGGGCATGTGGAGGTGAATATCTTACCATCCAGCCTCTCCTGTTGAAGCTCTTCAGCAGCATATAAATAATTCAATATTCATTAGAGCAGGAGTTTGAAGCCTGCTCCCCCGCTTCCCCCGCAAGTGCCCAAGATCACCAAATGAGCAAGTCAGTTTGTCTTTTTTCTTCTTTTGCTGGACTAGTAAGTAATTATTTACACTGAGTAGAAGAGCCTCACCAGGAGAGCTTGACCCCAAGACATTGTCCCTCGGGGAGAAGGGAGACCCAGCTTTAAACCTCGCTTTCAGATCGGACAATGGGAGCATATTAGTTCTCGCCACCATGTCTCGGGGCAGGGCTGCAGCCGCTGGGATGTTGGGTAAATTGATCCTGGCTTAGGCATCTCATACCAGGAATCCCAAACGAAGGGAAGTATCTCCCTGCAGCCTGGAAGGAGGCTTCGAACCCCCTTGCATTTCCCTTTGGCTCCCCAGGCAGCCTGGCAGCTCTCCTGGAGGGTGCTGGCGTTATGTCATGTACTATATACGTTGTCACAGCAGGCACTGCTGCCGTCTCCTACCAGTCCATGTAACACAACTGTCGCATCTGCCCTTTGGGACCCCTTCCCACATCTTTCTAAGGGTATATCGGCAGCGCTGGGGCCAGACAAATACGTGATGGTCGGCTCCAAAATAGCTCTTGGCTGCCCCACACGGGAACTGGCTGGCTTAGTTCATGGAAAGATACACCTATTTCTGTCCGCATGGGATAAAGCGTGACAGTGCGACACGAGCTCCCAGCTGATCACATGCAGGAGAGGCTCAGCTGGTATTTGTGTCCTACTGTGGAAATATCATGTAAAAAGAGCAGGTTACAGATCTCTTAGCGTGTTAGCTTCCGTTTTGGGGTTTTTTTTTAATGAGGACTCTTTTAAATTATTTGCTCTTCAATAAGTTGGTAATGGCTTTCTTGAGGAAATTAAGAGCAGGTACAGGTACTGCTCCCAGGCTCCAGAGGTTAACATTCACGTAGCACAATGTGATCCTCCCTGAATTAATGCACAGCGGCACAATGTAAATACAAGGGGTGAAGCGTGAGGCTGCTTTCTCAAATGGTCGAGATGTCTAGCGCTTGACCCTTTTACAGCGCGTCAGGGACATCGTGGCTTCCCACGCCTGGGAAAAGTGAAAGAGAGGGAAAATGCAGAGCACAGCCGCCCCAGTCAGACGTCTCCCAAAAAATGCAGCAATTCATTGCCAGCTCAGTTGAACTGGCTGGTGTGTTTGAGAGTTGCTGTATCAAGCCACATTTGGGAAAGGACTGGGGCTTGCTACAAATTCAGGAGCCACTTTAGTCCCCTCCTTACCCCGAGCTTCCCACCTCTGACATTTTCCAACAGCAGTGTGTGCACCTGTATTAGTGTCATGGGATACTGCCACACTCTTAAAATACATATCTGTTGCCTGATGGGCCCAAAATCCTGTTTGGATTGTTGCTAAGGTTTTAGGAAAAAAACAGTTAATTTTTATAGTAGTTCCTGCACATATACAAATTTCAATTATAGTTAAGTTGGATACACAGTTCCCCTGTATGTCCTGTTTTGATTAACTGAATGTACAGAATCTAGACACTGGATAACAGGAGTGATTCCTATGTAATTCAACTTATAGTAGACATTTTTAATGTTCCCCAGTGATTTACAAATCAACTCTAATTGGCTGAGAAGTAAAAATGTGTATGATTGCCTTTACCTTCCCATCCTGAGAAGTCCTCCTGGAATTTGAAGGTTGAATTGACCTGGTTTCTTTCTTAGCTCAGGTATCGCAAGATATAAAGAATGTGTCATCAGACCTTTTCTAACCCTCCTGTCAATGAAGTGTGAGCCAGAGCCGCTTCCATGGAACTAATGACTTCACGGGACTGACGGCAGCAGAAGTCAGAAACATATTTAGGTCAGGAAGGGGCTATTTGCTTTGCGCGCTGCCCAGACATTTCTAAATGAGCCACATGTGACTGAATCGCCTTTGCTGATGCATTACAGGGAGCCTCGCAAACACCACCAAGGAGATGGGGGAGATATAAGAGTTAATACAGAACAGAAAATATATGCAAAGCCTGCGTGAGGAAGATACCATCTTCATACAGCCATCTTTTAGAGGGCTGTTCCACCTTACATGGATGGTGGCCCCACGTTCCCCATGCTGTGACAGTGCAAAAGAAAGCCCTGCCACTGTTTAAAACAAAAAAAAACACCAAAAAAGTTTCATAGCCAGAAACTGCACTGAGAGGATAAACGAGAGCACAGCTTCAAAACTCAGTGTGATATCAGGGGCTAAGCACGTCGGCAAATCAGCCCCCATAGGGTGCTCAGCAGGCTCTGCATTGTCCTATACTGAGTACATATTATATTGAGCTGTATATACCGAGCCAAGCTGCGATCAGCAAAACTTTTGTTTTTTGTGCACTTACAGACCAACCTGTACCCGCCTGACAGCTTGTCTGGTGGATGCAGCCATGGGGCCCTGCTGACCACAGGTCCTTCAGCCAGCAGCAGCATTGGGACCCCCCCCAGGCACCCCCTGCTCTCACCAGACAGCCCCTCATCTGTCTGACGAGCGGATCAGCCCATTGCTGCTGTCTGAGGAGCTGCCAGCGCTGTTTCCAGCCACCGGCGGCTTATCCACGCGTTTTTTGCCAATTAGCTTTTTTGTTTCACGTGCCCCGCCGTCCGCACACAAAGGTGGGTCACTGAGCGCCTGTGATGGTTTGTCACCATTTGTCCTACTAATTTGCACTCCTACTCTCTCCCAGTACCAGCAGCAGTTGAAAGAGAAACTGTAGAGGAACAAACTAATTATCTCCAGCTCCGACATCTCCGCCATGCATACAGCCCTGCTGGGGCTGACTCCGAAAGCACCCTCCGCCCAGGGCAGAAAGTATCTGCTGCCCTTGGACTTCACTCTGTCCCCTTTTCCCCCTGCCCCGCTTTACATCTCTGCTCTGCCCAATGAGTCTCAAGCTGGTACGTCCAACCTTTTGCCACCCAGGGATTTTTTTGGCCGTTGGAGAGAAGCTCAAGAGTCGATAAATAATAGGTGAGCTATGGGTCAGGTCCCGCTGTTAGGTTCAACTGTGATCACGGCATAGTGCAGCAAACTCCTTAATTTTCCAAGTGAAACCAATCTTGACCCTGTTCGGGTTTGCTGCTTGTTACCACTTCGGTTTAGGAATCGGACATGACTTCTGGTAAGGACGGCTGTCCCTGGAAGAAAGGACGGGTGCGGGGATGCATGCAGGACTGAGGTTCATTTCACAGGTCTGCTCCTGACTCGTGGCACAGCCTTGCTCAGCTGTAACACAGAGAAGAGTTCCCTACCTTGGCAGGGGGTCATACGGGTGAAATCTTGGCAGGACTTGGTGACATCCACATGACTTGCCTGATAGGTGCTGTAAAAGTGAAGTACCTAGATCTGGTAGCATGTTTTAGAGCTCTCCTTCCCTTCCCTGCCCAGTCCTCTCAGCTGCCTAAATGATTAGCTCTGAAAGTTAGAGGAGTCTTGGTCTAGTTTGTTGGTAACAATATGGTACATTTCTTAAAGTTGTCTGGGTTTTTAAATAGTTTCCCAGGAATCAAAAATAGGAAGGGATGCTTTGAATTGAGTAGTTTTCCAGCTGAGATTATTTTTTCCAAGAGACAATGTCACTGACTTCCTCCTGTCTTGCCCTGGTCCCTTATTTCCCTGCTGTGTCCTCTTCTCTGGGCATACCTTCAGGAAGACTGTGTTTCTTGCTAATCTCTTGACTAGCTGCACCAAGCCAGATATTTTGACTTGTAAAGGTTTCCTTCCCTAAGTTAGGGACATCAGCAGCAAAATTTTCCCTGTCTAGGCATCTTGAAATTTGGTTGTTATTGCAAGCTTTGACCGAGCATTCAAAGTAGGGCAGCAGAGCAATATGCTACACTCGTGCTTTTCTTTGAAAATACAGCAGCAGAGGCTTGTACTTGAGATGCCTTTGGGAGTGAGCCCCTGGCTCTTGCTGAGTGCCAGCGGGCAGCAGGAGCTGGCAAACTCGGGAACCACCACCTCTGATGCTGGCTGGAGACCACTGGTGAGGGGACCAGCTTAAAACCCCTCTTGAGAGCAACCTTCAGAGGGAGCTGGAAATATTCAGGCAAAATGTTGTGTCTGTGGGTGCTTGGGAGCCGTGATCTCAGCTGAAAATGGGGGAAGTTCTTGCCTGCAGAACAGGGCCTGAGTTCTTACTGCCTCCCTGAGTGGATGAAGGGCTCTTGACTCCCCATTTCAAGGAATTAGCCCATCGTAAAGCCTGACGGTCTGGCTCACGAACCAACACAGATCTCTAGGACAGAGGAGGAAACCCTTCAGGGCTGTTGCTCACCTCAGAACAGAGCACTTCTGTCTCCACAATCTCATTTTCCTGTAGATGACAGCAGTTACCCGAAGGTGTCTTTGTTCTGTGCGAAGCTACAGCTTCACCGACTTCTGACGGTGCCAGCTGCTGGTCCAGAGCCACGATGCTGATGCTTCACCGGTCAGCAGCCTCTCACCAGCCATGGACCGGCAGGCAGCAGAGCTGGCCCCTGCAGCTCGGGAGGAGCGTTGGTGAGCTGCCCGCAGTTACGTGCTCAGCAGGGGCTGGGGGCTGCTGCTTCGCACAGAGGCAGGAGCCCACCTCTCAGCCGAGTTGGCAGCATCTTCTGGGAAGCTCCTGCTGAGTTTCTAATATCACACTTAACCTCTGATTAGAAAAAGAAAAATGCAGTCTGGCACGCTACCTAGGAAAGGCTTCCAGTCACGTTTTATTCTGTCCAAGAAACGCAGGAATACTCATTGCTTTCTCTGTGCTGTGTACACTTACAAAATAGTGTAAAAAAAATATAGGAAAATAGCCTATAGGCACAAGGTCCTCTGCTAACTGGTGTGTTTCTCTTCCTTTTAGTCCACCCTTGGATTTATTGCCTTGGTAATCAGCACTCTGCACACACTCACGTATGGATGGTCAAGGGCCTTCGATGAGAACCAGTACAAGTTCTACCTGCCTCCCACCTACACCCTCACGCTGCTCGTCCCATGTACTGTGATCCTAGCAAAAGTCATCTTCAGTTTGCCCTGCATCCAGCAAAGACTTCTCCGAATCAGGAGGGGCTGGGAGAAGGGAAGATACGTGAAGTTTGTCCTGCCCAGCGCAACGGCGGAATATTCAAGCGGGGAGACCTCTAGCAACGTCTAACAGAGCCCCGGCTGTGACAGAGGATTTCAAAGCACTATCAACATTTCTATAAAGGTGTTTCTTTTTCTTAAATATATGTATGTTTTGGTATAATTGTATTGTGGGTAAATAATAAAATTTGGTGACTTCAGAAAATGGATGACCACAAAACTAGTTTAGACAGTAGTAGTTAAATTGTATTGCTGATTTACTAGGACAATTATCGCCTTAAAAATGACTGTGAAAGCTGAGCTAGCAGCACTAATATACATTGGAAACTGATGGACTCTGTTAGTCAGCTCAGTCACTTGAGGTGCTGGCTGGCAGGCTCCCTGGACCAGTACTTCTCAGTTGCTTCCCTAGCTGCTCTCATAAATTTCAATGCCTCTTTTTTTTTTTTTAATACAAAGTAGCACAGATTTTCTGGGGTTTATGACAGCAAAGATATCCTGCCTCTTGAGTGCCTGGATCAATCAAGGCAGTGAGGTTTAGAAAGATGAATTGTCCCTGGTTTTGGTCTCCTCAGTGAACTCAGTGGACAAGAACAGCAATATCCACGTCACGTAGCGTCTGCAGATTTTACTAAAAGCATCCAAACCTAACAGCAAGTCCAAGTATCCCTGTTCTCTCAAATACAGACAGCACTTCTGGTCTGGTAAGCTGTGCCTGGTGCATGTTTTTAAGCTATGGAAATAAAGCACCTTTTCCAGCAGTATAAAAGCATTTGAAGAGATAGATGTCCCTAACAACACACATCTGGTCTGCATCACTGGCTCTGAGATGACCAATGCTGCTGCTGCATGTTCTCTGTTTTACTAAGCCAAAGTTTCAAGCAATATTTGATGGAAATAAAGCAAAGGTAATTATTGGAAAGACCTGCTGCTTCACAAAATTACATGGAGAAAACCAAGGCCTTCCAGCTGGCCTTACATCAAATAGGGTGAAGCTTTTAGAAATCACTGTCACCTGAACATGCCCATTTATGCAGACAGAACAGCAGCTTCAAATGGTCTTGCAAAGTGATCAGTGAGTCTTGACCACAACATGAAAATACAGCAATTGTACGTTTTGAGCACAGTCCTTCATTGCTTTGCAACTTAAAAAGTCACTTACTAGATCACAAAGCAGGTACCAAATGCTCTTCTGACTTCACACTCCCTTTGGACAAGGTACAGGGCAATGAAGATTTCTGTCCTAATTTCATTTTCCACCTGTCACTTTCTATCCCTTCAAGCTCTTGCTCTTTATCAGAATAATTCTTTAGGTTTTGGACATCCAAATCACCAAACAGAGAATGGACAGCCATTCATAAAAGTTCATTTAAAAGCAAGCAATCGGGATGACACAAGAAGACTACCTCAATAACGTCAGATACAAGGACATGGCTAGAGCAGCCTCATTTTCCTACAGTTAAAACACCACTCATTGTTCAGTGTTGCTTTGAAAAACAGCTGTCAGCATCAAATGAGGTACGGTTTGTGGGACAAGAAAGTACTTGTTACTAGACCAGTTAATATAAATGGGGGGTGGAAATTATAAACTTTGGGGCGCATAAGCCCTTCTACAAGCCAACATTGCTTCTGTAACCTGGATGTTTTCTACACAGAGAAACTTAACAATTCCCTGTTTAGCCTCAAATAACTACAATGAGTAATATTCTCCAAATATTATTGCTCACGGTGCCAGTGATGATATTGAGGGATTTCAGTTCTTGCCCAAGGCTTACAGTAAAGTTTCCAAACGCCACTTCTTTTCACTGAATGGAAAGAAATCGGCATGAGGGAAATGCCTAGATTTCACAATCAGCTGATTTTTTTGTTTTGTGGGTTTTTTGGCAACACAGGGAAGGTACCATTCTTTCCCACTGTCCCCTTCAGAAAGCTGTGGTTATTCAGGTTTCCCAGTGCACCTCCGCAACCTAGCCCAAATCAGCACCTGATCAAATCACTCACCAAGCAGATTGATTACCCAGCACTATTTATTTGTAGTTGAATAGTAGGTCAAGTTTCCACGTGGATTTGAGACAGTTTCACCTGAGTATAATTCCACCTACTCCAGTTTAACTCATCCTTGAGGGAAAACTGGATTCAGCAAGCTTGTTCTTTTAGTCTTCTCTTCCATTTCTTTATCAAGCAAAGTCAACATAAAAGCACCAGTTTACACGTTTTCTGGTTACAGTAGTGTACTCCAATGCCTCTTCTTCCCACCTAAGCTTCTTTTCATATCTTTAGGTCAGACAAGACTACTGCCTAGTAACAAAAGAAAAAAAAAAGGATTAAGAGGCAGGGAAAGAACATTACACAGGCTTGCAGGCTTTGTCTTCCAGGGGAAAGGTGTGGTTTTATTGTGAGTTGCTGCAAGGTTAAAGACTTATCTTTCTGCCCAGCAGAAGTAAGGTTTGCACCTTTGCTTTGTTTACATGACTTTCATGCCCACACACCCTTTCCCATCGACGGCAAAGGGACAGGTTTCATGAGCAGAAGCAGAGTCAGGCACCCGGACCTACCTGAGGAGCTGGCTCCATTAGTGAGTCAGCATGGTACTTTTCATATGGACACAAGCCCAGAATGACAGACAAGCCAGCTCAAAATCCCCACAGCTACTGCAGCGCCACAGCATCTAAAAAAAGGCTAGGCAAGTGTCTCCAGGTAACGCCTGTGCCAACATACTGTCCAGCCAGTCACCATCCCTTTTAAAGACTGAAACCAATTCCTATAAATGCAGAACAGCATTTCAGATGGTCCCTTCTGTAGGCATCTGGTCCTTAAAACGTTTGACACAAGAGTCTGAGTAATTTCTTCTGATTCTGGAATGCTGAAAAGTAGTTTGAGGAATGTTTCAATTATCTTTTCCCTACACATTTTTTAATGTGGATAGGGGGTTCAGTGAGGTTAGCTTAAAATTTACCAATTAACTGGTTTTGTACTTGGAGTTTCTCTCTCTCTCTGTATATATGTACACACACATATATATTAATGCAGAATATATAGCTGGAATGTAAATTCTTTATATTTTTATTTTCTGCATTGCCTACTATGTGCCTCTGGGATATGTAAGAACTAACTGAAAAGCTGTAAGAGTAAGGCCAGTTTTAATCACTGGCATCTGTACTTATATAAAAGATATTCTGAACAGGTCTACATAATTATATCAGAACTTGTTTGAGTCTTTTTTCCTCTCCTCCCCCTAAACAATACCATTACTTTAATGGCGGTAGTAGTGTGATTATCTAGAATTTAACCACTAGGAAATAAAACCCACTATAGCCAGCAGCTGATAGAGTCTCTTTATCAACATAGTAAGTGAAAATGATCATTGCTGGGACCCATGGTGCCAGGGCCTCAACTCCAGAGTTGTTGTGCATGTTGGAGGGCACAAGTGTGTACAGACATATGTTTCGGTACAAGAGACTAGTGATATTACACAGCATGTGTAGCACAGGATCAAAAAAGCTTAATTCACTAAACAAAAAGTGCTGTTGATAGAGAGTTCAGGAAGAGGGAGTTCCGGATGAGGTTTTATGGGACTGGAAAGA